TTAGTAAGTGTTGAAAGGATATGTATTTATACATGTTCCCCTGCAATTAACTGATGAGATATTGGGATTTAGTCAGAGTTTCCCTGCTAGCTCTGTGTGTTTCTTCACATGTTAATAATTGAATCATGAACTTTGAACTGTTAAGGCGTCTATAAAAACGCCAGAGTTTGAAAGGTTACGCGTTATGTTAAAATAATGTGTTTAAGACAATTCTCCCTCCTTATTCTTTTTCGCCAATCAGCATAGACACAAACGTTTGAAAAATCAAACGGTCTAAAAGTCTTTATGTCATTAAGAGGGTCAGCCCAATAGAAAAGGACTTGGATCAATCAGTCCACAAGTTTAATGCTTTAAATGGTCTCATGTCTCACTTTAAACTATACAATCAACGTAACTTAGTAATTGAGACGAAGTGACCCGTATTTTAAACGATGTGTTTTGTTTCAATTTTTGGTGATGATGAATCACATTATGGTTCTCAAGAAGAGGTTGAAATACTTCAAATTCTCGGAACAGTAGACGATCGTGGCAAAACCACTAACTAATCTCTTTTTAAAAAAGAAAACATAAAAATACACAGTCAACATGATTGATATATCGTAGCGAAGCCATCAACTGATTTTCTTTAAAAAAAAAAAAAAACATAATCAACGTGATTGACATTACAGACGTTATGTATCAAGCGTGTAGACTTCCATGTTCAAACTTTTTGTTGTCAATTGTGTTGTTTATATGGTATATACACATGGGCATGTAAAACATTTCGCGTGTTACATTTTGTGTTGGTTGTGATGTTTTGCGTGATAATTTTATAAAGGAATTTGAGATATTTCACGTGTTATGCTCTATAGCAAATATGTCAATCAAAATATTATGTTAATTGTGTTTTTGCAATTTATCCGTAATAAGTGATGTAATTCACGTGGTATTAAATACAGAGTATTTTAACTGAATTATACATCCAAAAAGAAAGAAGGAAAAAATGGAGTTAATTTCTTTTAACTGACTTACAAAAAAGAAAGAACGAAATAAATTTTTTTTTCATGGAATTCATGTATCCAAGAATTGGTGGTTGTTGGCTCAAGCACTAATTCGATTCTGCGGATTCTTGTTCGTGTTATCAGCTGCATTTCGTCTTCTCCGACATCTTCGTATGACGAATACAATTATACCAATGATAATTCCCAGAGCAATCAGACCTGAAAATGTAGAAACAAGATTTCTATCAGCTGACTCGGGAAAGAGATCGAAAAATTGAAAGAAAATAACAAGTTTGTCAATGTTTGTACAAATGCGACAGTAATATTACCTCCCACAACGATTGCAGCAATTATCCAGTTTCCTTCAGCTCTTGTCAGTTCTTTGTACTCTGCATGTCAAAAAAAAAAGTATAACATTAGAGAAACGAAAACATAATCATGAAGCGAATTGCGTAATTTAACGGTTAAATATTCTAGAAAATTTAACAGATGAATCTAAACAACTTCAAACGCAATATAGGAACTGACCTTTTTTGCAGATATAGGTGAATGGCTTATCCATTGATTTTACTACGCACTGTTTACTAGCCAAAGAGCAATCTCTGCACGTAACTGACCATTCAACTTCAAAGCCAGCTTTCAATAGTTCCATGACGGCCTCATAAGAATTGAACTTCGTAACATCTTTACGAAGATCGACAGGAGCCAACGAAATGACAGAGCATGATTTTTGAGGCTCATAATACGAGTAATCGCCATCATAAACAGCATAGACGTAAGTCCCGTTTCTTGTCAGGCAAGGAACCACTGTGTGATTAGCAGCTTCCGGCATGCTGCTGATGTTTGTTGAGCACTTGACGAACCGGAAACGACTTCCTGGGTTCCACCCATATCCCATGAATCGAGCATCCCGGACAAACCCGTTCGTTGTTTCGACAGGACCAGACGGAAGGCCGCAGGTTCCGTTGGCGAAGTTGACGTCGACCAAACGGAGTGTGTGATCATAGTAGGAAATGTTGCGCACGTAGTATTTCCCGGGGAAAATCTCTAGGATGGGTTTGTTGTCGACACAAGAGAGCTCGTAATCGGAGTCGCCGCAGCCGGATGGATCGCCCTTGAGGCGAAAAGGGTAGCTGATGTTTTTTATTTCTCCGCAGGAAGACCAACAGTTGGTTTGTGCTTGAATTTGAACGAAAAATAGCAGAATCAGCAGAGAACAGAAAAGAGAAGATGTATATTGGACCGTCCTCATGATTATATTATATGTTTTTGCAGAAAAATTATGAATCTCAGAACTTTGGGTAAATAATTTCGGATGACGCTCTGCGTAGATTATATATATAGTCTTCTGGAACGCCTCAAAATTGTTTAGGCGTGTTGATTTTTATCCAAAGTTTGGAACGCCATGGCCCATCTTCTTCTTAAAGGAAATCTCCATTGATGTTCCTCTGTTAGTCAACGAAAGGGAGAGGGTCAAAACTTCCAGCTCCGTGTTGTGGGTTTTTGTCTTTTTTCTAAAGATAGTAATGACTGGGAACTGGATCCTCTCCGGAACTCAATAATCTGAGCCGAATGATCATTTGATCCAGGCTGTTGAATTTGATCCAACGGTTACAATTATTATAACTTTAGAGGGGTTTCTGTTTGTAACCGTTTGATCAAATTTCAACAATCTAAATCATTTGATCCTTAGGCTCATATTATTGGGATTCGGAGAGGATCCGGTTCCTAATGACTGTAACTAGTTGCCTACAATAACTGTTAAAATTGTTGAGTGACATCTTTGTAAAGTCCACACCCACATTATATTTTAATAATTTAACCATTTATTTTTTAGATTTTCCTTTAAGTTATTTACACAAAAAACAATCAAATCGAAGTTAATATGATTGTTGAACTAAATGATAGTCATTTTAGTGTTTGTATAAAACACAACATTCTTCTATTTTTGCTCACTACAATACTGTTGAATATCTTGGTTGTTATGGATTTGTTTGAATGATGTATAAATAATGAATTGACATATAAACCGTTCAAATAATTAAAATAGTTACATAATAGACATTATAAGGTGTGCCACAAACATAATTTTATTTGCAAAATTGAGGTAAAACAAATGACCAAGTGGATTGAAACTGAAATAGACTAAAGGAAGACAAAAAGACGCAGCACCGGCAGCAGGAATCTATATACTTACAGATTTAGAGTCCGACTCCGTTTTACGTGCATAATACTTTCTCACGACGTCCTAGATTGACCACACTGCTTTGCTATGAAGCACAATGAATTAAAGCCATCCGACGTCGTTTAGACTTCCAAAACCAAATTTTAAAGTTTCTAATAAAATCGGACGTTTTGTTTTATGTCCGGTTACTTCTTTTACATTCCCTAAGACTCTTCTAAACTTCTCAAGAGTCGAGTTAACTCTGTTTAAGTCTTATAACTAATGTTATAAACATTTAAGAATTATTCAAATAGTATTTTTCAAAATCTGATGAATTTCAGAACATTATTCTTTAAAGACTTACGTTGATATCCTTTTTATGCTCGTGCAGCGTCAAAAATCCCTCGATAAAAGAGTACGTAAAATTTAAACTTGAGTGCAGCTCGTTAACTCATATTTATGTCACAAACGCGTCATTTGGAAGTTGGAAGACTGAAGATCGGTGTCTTGGAATGGATAAGCACACTTTTTGTCATTTGTCTGCCCAGTTTTTTAATTTATTAGCTTATCCTCGGTTTTTTTTAATATGCAACTATCCCCTCCACCCTAGGATTGAGAATTTCAAAGGTCAAAGTCAATTCTTCATTTTCCATAGTCCGTATCCAAAGACGCCACTCATCAATCAAAGCTGAATTTCAGTCATTCCCTCTTCCAAAGAATACCAAAGCCAAAAGCTAAGTTCATCTCCAACTGAAGGAGGGCTAAAAGATTCATTTTAATCTTACAGTTTTGTAAGAAATTATATTTTAATGAATAGTGATAGACCATATTTTATACCATCTCCAATCGAGGGGGTCAAAAGGCCATAGGCCAAACATAACCCTTAGATAAAAAATCATTTCCAACCGAGGGGACCAAAGGAGATAGGCCAAACATAATTTATTATTTTAATTGAATTAATATGATTACTTAAATTAAACTATCATATTAAAATAAGGTTTTCGGACATGCTTTGAGTGCCACTTGTCGCCAAATGAATAAGCCTCCGGATTTTTTATTTTTATATGATCTCAATAACTTTTTGGATAGGAGTTCGAGTGACACGTGTCGCTAACGTAAGCAACTCTCCAGATTTCTTATGTTTAAGTAATCTCAATAATTTTTCGAATAAGATTTTGAGTGACACGTCGCTAAAGTGAGTAACTCTCTAGATTTCTTATCTTTATGTAATCTTAATAATTTTTTGGATAAGATTTCGAGTGCCGATATATAATTAATTGTGAAAATTTTATATATGATTCTTATTTATGTGACACTTTTTATATTCAGCTTCAAATGTTAATAAATTGGCTAGATATTGGGGTAGAATTCACACACCTCCAAACACCTTCAAATGTTAATAAATTGGCATATGTCAAGCTTAACATTTTGGCGATGGAGGGCTAGGCTATAGGGTTGGTAGGCTAGCTGCTCTTGACTAGCCCTTTGGCCGGTTCTCCCATTTTTGGCCGAGTGGGGACCACGAGCCATTTGGTCTAGCTCTCGGTTGGAGACAGTTGTAAAACGGGTTATTTTTAGCCCTATAACCCCTTGGCTGGATCTGTTGGAGATGACCTAAGTTCCTCAAAGCACTTCCTAAAAACGCTTTTTGTAGAAAGTATTTATGCTAACAAGTGTTTTTTTTTTTGGTTAAATTTGTTTAATTGTAAACACATTTTAACGAAAACCTAAAAAGTATCATGGAAAAGCATTTTCGTTGTTTCTATATCCCAAAGCGTTTTTAAGTTTTCCTACGAAATATAATAAAAAACGGTTTTAAAGTCGGTAAGAGATCACTCTTTAAGAACCAGTTTATAACAAGTGGCCCAATGAAATGAGGCCCATTTGGAAATATATACATGGCTCAATGGCCAATAACTAATGAACAAGACCAAATATCCGAATTATACACATCAACAAACACCGCAAAAGCATTTGAATTTACACACATCAACATACAAATGTTAAGCTCAAGAACTGTTGATTTATGGCGTCAAGGACTGCTGATTTTGATTCTGGAGATTTCTCTTGGCTTCGTTTCTAGTTCTACGACATCTTCGGATTACGACCACCAGTATAAGAATTATACACAACAGACCAATTAGAGCTGAAAATGCAGAGAGAAGATTTCTATCAGTTGCAGACTGCTATGGCATAATAAAATTGCAAGAAAAATTACAATGGAATAAATAGAATACCTCCCACACCCATTGCTACATATATTAAGATTATTTGAAGTTCTGTGGGTTCTTTGTACTCTGCATCTACAAAAATCACAATACTAAACGTTAAAATATTTAAAAGTTCAAGTGAAAAAAACGTTTTCGACTGTTAGAGAACATTTTTAACTAATTCAAAAGCAACCTCAAACAATGACTTTACATAAGCAAGAGATAAAACTAATCGCGGTCATAAACTTAAGGCATACACATAATTAGTTGTATATTGATCCGTGATGAACTATTACGTGACTGTCACACGTACTTTCACGTGTTGTTGTAGTAGTTCGGGATCGGATACTAACCTGTGTAGCATTCGTAGGTGAGTGGCTTAACCCATGAACTTACTGCGCATCCCTTACCAGCCAAAGAGCAGTCCCTGCACTTAACCGACCATCCAATATCAAACCCGGCCTGCAATAGTTTCATGACGGCTTCGTAAGAAGTGAACTTCATGTCCGGATGAAAATCTACCGGAGCCACTGCAACAAGCGAGCATGACGGTTGAGGGGGATAATAGTACTCGGGGACATAAACAGCATAGAAATAGCTCCCGTTTGTTGCGGCCAAACATGGAACCCTTGTATAATTAGCAGCTGTTGGCAGGCTGCTGATGTTTTTGGAGCACTTGATGAATCGAAAACGACTAGCATAATAGATCACAGCTCCTTGGAACCGAAAATCCATGACTTTCCCGTCCGCTGTTTTGACAGATCCAGGCGGAAGGCTGCAGGATCCGTTGGCAAAGTTGACGTCGACCAAACGGAGGTTTTGATCATCATATGAAATGTTGTGCACGTAGTATTTTTCCTGGGAAAATTTCTAAGATGGTTTTTCCGTACACGCAAGAAAATTCATAGTCAGGATCCCCGCAGCCAGATGGATCGCCCTTTAGACGAAAAGGGAATATAATAGTTGAAGTGGTAAATGAACATTGAACCCTCCTCATGGTATATTATATACGTATGTCTTAGCAGAATAACTATGAACTTCAAAATTGGAAAATATCATAGTAATCCCGGAACAAGCAGCTAATACATTTATATTTCCCAGATAGTCAACCACTGAAAGTGTCAAACACCCAAAGTACGTTTTGAGCTCCATCCATGCTAGGGTTTTTTTATTTCTTCAGTTTTTTTTTAATTAATAATATTATATTTATATGAAATAATAACGTAATGATTTTAGAATCAAGGAAGTTAGTGCAGAAACGCGTTATGTGAAAGTTGTTGATTCAAAAAGTCTTAAGTCGAGATCGATCGAGTTAATAAAAATAAAGCAATTTGGATGATCTTCAAATAAATAAAACAATGTCCATATTATTCTAATAGAATTCAAAGATCGACGACAATTAAGCTCCCTTAATTGGCTCATTCCTTTGCCAATACACAACCGAGTATAAGTTTTCATGAATATGCCAAATTTCAGAGTCAGCGATGAAGTATCTTTTTACGAGTCCAGAGATGCACAACAAACCTGAATAAAGTTGAGGTTCCACTATAAAATTAATTGGTAATATAAGAAGCAATTCAACTTATTTATAAGCTCATGAAAGTTCTTCCTCCCATCAATGTGAGACTCATTCTCAACACGCCACCTCACGTGTGACAAATTTTTAAGTCTAACACGTGGACAACACAACAGAGTAGTGTGGAGCACGTATGACTGTTTGACTTTACACATGGAACAACCTGATACCATATAAAACTTTAGTAGGCTAGGTTTTTAGTTGTTTTTGCATACCCTTTTCAATCTAGGGTTGCTTGTATTTATAAGATCATAGAGATTTACGTCAGTGGGTTTAAAACAAGCTATTTACACGCTAGTGTGAAATTCAAACTTTATAACAGCATAGTAAACTTAACTAAGAAACATTCATAATCTTCCTAGACTTAACACTCTCTTTGAGATAAGGAAGAAGACTTGATAGTTTGAATGAAAATGGGAAGTCTGACTTAGTCTAACAAAACCAACATCAAAATTCTTTTTTGTACTCACCACAGAGTCACCAATGGTTAGAAACCAATTCCATGTCACACGACACGTTCTGACACTATGTGAATTACAGATGCTAGTCAAGAAATTATGAAATGCTTCTGTGAGTCTTCTGAGCACCGAAAAAATAAACTATCATGGTGAAGCCAACTGATCAATTTTTTAAAGAAAAAAAATTCCCTTTTTATACTATTGAAGATTGTAGTAGTGCAGCCTTACAGGTGTCAGTCTATTTTCTACCCTCGCACTCCTGTTTTCTACCTTCATACTCCTAACTTTTTAATCCAGTGAATTGAACAAAAAAAAAAAAAGATAATCAAATTACAAGTCACAAACTAAGGAGCAGTATAGATAAAGAAATTATGAGTGCAAAAATCACTATCCAAATATATATGATTGCTTCTCAAATACATAGATTTGCTAAGTTGCATTCAAATATTAGGAGGAGAGAGAATTCTCTTCCAAATATTTGGATTTAGAGTAGAAGTCTGTAGAAGTCCAGGGTAAAAGGTGAGAATAGGACATGCCGCAAGTTAAAAATTTCTAGCTGGCAGTTTTCAATGTGCAACATACTTGGGTTTAGCATCATAGGCACTCTTGATTTAGCCATGATTCATTTGGGATGATTTTTCATATGAACATGCTAAAACTTTTATTAAAAGTTTGGGTATATTCTAGAAAAGTACCTTTAGAAAACGTTTTTTAAGATCTTATAAGCAATTTAAGATTTTTTGTAAAATGTAATCACCAGCGCTTATAACTATCGAACAATGTTTCAAACCCTATCATATGCAGTTTCAAACATGCTCGTGTTTGGCCCGAACATGGCGTTTACGAAACCCCTTAATAGGACACTACCAAATTACGAGCACAATAAGACTACTGTTGAAAGCTATTTCATCCCATAGGCATACACTTGCCAGTGCCCTTGTCCACCTGCACATGCTGCTTGTCTTCCACAATATGCCCTATTTCCTCCTAGGCTCTCTTAAGCCCCTACTAAAAGTTATTTTCTGGACGTGACGTTATAGACCAGACAACTGTTGATAAGCTGTCGATAACATTGGTAGACACGATTAGTTTTCATAAGCTGTAAATTACATTATTGATATAAAATCCATTCTTTAACAAAGAACAAACGTCATGCACAAATTTTTTTTACCCGTATTTAATACACACAACAACTATATTACAAACTACAACCAAACATCTAGAGTTAGATAATAAGCTTATTATACTCATAATTTCAATGGCAAGTGTATGGCCATGGGATGAAATAGCCTTCAATGGTTGAGGTCTAGCCTACCGCCGCTTAGGCAGGAATTATTCTTTGCATCGTATTGCTTGACGAATCGATAAAACTAGTAGAGCTGGTGTCATATCCTTGGAACCGATAATCCCTGACATTCACTTCCGTTGACGGAAGGCTGCTTCCGTTGGCGAAGTTGACGTGCACCAAACGAGGATTTGATCATCATATGAAATGTTGTGCACGTAGTACTTTCCCGGGAAAATTTCTAAGATGGTTTTTCCGTTCACGCAAGCAAATTCATCGTCAGGATCTCCGCAGCCGGATGGATCGCCCTTTAGACGAAAAGGGTATTTGATATTTTGGATCTCTCGGCACGAAGTAGAACAATTGACGGGCTTAAGATCTCTTGCTCGAGTCCTCCTCAGTCCTCAGTTAGATGAATGAAAGCTAGAAAAATCAGCGCAGAAAAGAGAATGGTAGTAGTTGAGGTACTGGTAAATTAAGATTGAACCCTGCTCAGTCCTCATGATATATACCAAACTAACATCCAAATTCATTTTTAGTACTATTGAAGATTACAGTACGGCCGTACATTTTGCCTCTCGAAACCATCTAATTAGATATATCGTCTCAAATAAAAGATAAGAAATGTTATCAGTACTACAAAAATGTCATCATGCATTCCTACATGTACGAGATGACTTTTACAAGACGTAGACCATCTTTGTATACATTGTTAAATTGGATTCGAATTTGGATTTAGAGAAGAAGTTCAAGAGTAAACGGCAAAAAAAAGACATGTGGTACGTTTGAAAGTTTTGGTTTGCTTATCTTTGATGTGCTGAATACTTAATCAACTGGTATGTGTAGTTCGCTAATAATTGCATGTAGTTCGTTAGGACGTTGGTAGGAGTATAGTTTTTTTGACAATGTTTTGGGCTTTGCAATATTATGGATTTACCATTATATATTGGGCTTTGCATTATTTAATGACTGGCCCAACACATGTTTTCTTTAAGGAAATTTTATTTAAACCCATTCAACCTCTTTTTACACCCAATTTTAAATTTTAAATGTTAATTGTCTATTTTATCCTATTGCATAATTACTATTAAGTACAAAATGAAATTAATAATAAAAGTCAAATTTATCAATAAACCCCAAACATTATAATTAAATCCTAATAGCTCTCTTTACAAAAGCTTAAACATTATAATTAAATTTATCAATAAACCCAAATATTATAATTAAATCCTAATAGCTCTCTTTACAAAAGCTTAAACATTATAATTAAATTTATCAATAAACCCAAACATTATAATAAATCCATATATTGAATTGGATTTATGGGGGCATATTAGGTATCAAATTTGGGTTTAAAGAGATATTAATAGTGTAATTAAAAATCAAATTGGTGCAAAAAGTAAGTTATGTGTAGAAATAGGTTATATGAGTTTAAATAAAATTTCCGCTTTCTTAGGGGCCAATCCTTTCGTAGTTTATACTTTTTGACTTTCTTTTATTTTCCATTTTTAACCTTCTCCTAGGGATTTCATACCCTCTTTAAAAACGTCAGTGGGATAGAAAAGAGTGCAGGTTTTGGGAGAGATTTCAACATGCATTTTTATGTGCGTGCACACTTTTATTTACGAAAAATAAAAGAATAATAAATAAAGAATATATACAAAGAGGACAAAAAGATATATTTTCCTATGTTTTTACATATTGCACATTAGACCCATTTTTCTTAGCTGAAAAGACGCTCATCATTTTTGCTTCCGTAAGAGATGAGAGTTTGTTTGGAAGTGTTTTTAAAATAATTGAAATTGTTTTTGGTACAAAAAGTTCTTTAATTGTTTTGAAACACTAAACATTTTCTTTAAATGAATTTTTAATTTTTTTTAAAGGCTCTTCCAAACGAGCTTGAATTATGTTCCAATAATAAGTTTCTAGTCATTTTAAAAACTTTTTCAAACAAGCTTGAATTATGCTCCTATAGTAAGCTTCCCTAATTTTTATTTACCATTTAGTAACGTTTCTAATCTTAATTTTCATCACAGAATATATAAAAAAATGGCGGTAAACACAAAGAAATCCCTCTTCCTTATTTAATTAGCAACACGAAATATTTACAGCCGCAGGAAAAATAATTAGAGGGACCAAACAATAAAAAAGAAAGTCTATGGCCAACAACCCTCTAAAATATAAAAAAAAAAGAAAGAAAAATGGAAAAAACGTAAGAAACCACCGGCAATCGTCACGACTCACAATCCATGGGCAGATTAGAGTGGATATCAGTGGTGGATACTGGATACCATGTGAACATATTTATGACGTTAACATCCATTGATTCTCAGCTGATGGAAAACCAGTGGAGGAGGTCGCGGGAGAGTCGGCGGCGCGTGAGCGCGACGCCATCCCGGTGTACCACGGGAGAGCGGCAGAGAGGGCAATTGAAGTTGAGGTGGTCGAGCCAGGAGTCGAAGCAGTGCTTGTGGAACACATGGCGGCACTGGAGCATGCGGACCTGCTCACCATCCCCCAAGGTGCACAAGCACACCACGCAATTGCAATCCCGTGCGGTGGCAACGGCGTCGTCGCGGTCGTATGGATAGGATAAGTGACGGTTGAGGGCGAGCTGGTCGGACAAGATAACGAGACCCGCGAGTCCCGAGCCCACGGCCGGGCCGGCAGCAAGGCCTTCGTCGTAGTCTGAGCCAGGATTGGGATGGGGGCTGAGGCCCAGAAAATGGAGGAGGGCGAGGAGGGAGGAGCGGAGGTGGTTGATGGAGCTGGCGATGAGTGCGATGAGTAAGAGCGGGATGGAGTCGGAAGAGACGTCGTTGAGCTGGCTTTGTAACCCCATAATAAATTAACGAAGTATGAATCTGTTATCTCTCTCTTTGTATCTCTATATATAACAACAATATATATAGTCTATAGATACACACATATATGTAATAAAAAATGTGGTAATATTATGTTAACTCTCAAGGGCCATACATTTTTCCTTTGGTGGATGTGTGTGTGTATATATATATTTGGAGTGAGAGGAAAAGTAGTTGATTATGTTGTGAAGGTGGGATAATATATACAGCTAAATGTACATATATATATATATAAGAGAAATACTAGGCAGAGGCCGGAGGGGATGGCAATTTGGTAAATAAATAGGGAAAAATGGGAAGGAAACCAAAAGGGCAAAGGCGACAGGTGGGGGAAAGCTAAAAAGTAGAGAAAAAAGAGAGTACACAGTGAGGGTACTGCGTAGTACGTGGGGGGAAGAAGGGGAGGACAGCAGGCAGCAGGAAGAGGTAGGTGTCTGTGAAGGTGTGATGTTACGATTGCAACTTTCAGGCCTCTCAAATTCTCAAAGGTTTCTTCGATTTCTTTTGTTTTGTTTGAGTTTTGTGATTGGAGTAGGAAGGAGGAAGGAAGGAAGGAAAGAAGGCCGAGTGTGAAACAGGAGATATGATTGGAGGAGGTTAGGAACCAAGTTCTGTGAGTAGGAAAAATCGGGTGCATATACATACACACACACATAATGCTTGTGTCTCCTCTGTAACTTAATTTTTCTTTTACTTATAAAAAAACTAATCTTTATTATTCTAACATTATAATTCGAATCATTCATTTTCTTTATTATGTTGAAGATCATATACAAAAAATCATTCAATTTGGACATGGTTTGGTCATCCATACATGTTAAACTAACAAATAATTGCAATATCAAGTAACATCATCATGATGAACCATCTATTTATTTTATGCATATTAATGGCTAAAAAATAGCCAAATTAAATAATATTTTACATATATAATTTGGGAATTGTTATTGGCATTCCAAAATTCTCATCCTACAGTCCAAACTTTCTATATTTAGAAAAAAAAATACACTTGTGAGGAGTATAGAATGAGATTTTTGGAGTACCAATAATACTTCCCTATAATTTTTAGATGATAAAAAAATTAACAAGTCAAATTATAATAATTAGATGATAAATATTTGTGTAATCGCAATTGATAAAATAATTATTTTCCCTAAAAGAATAATTATTTTCCATAAAAAGGACACAAGCATTATCCTATTTGCACCGTCACCATGTGGGTTAGGTTGGTGCCCACTGCCCACCTCTTATTTGTTTTCTTCCTTGTTCCTCGCATCACCATTTTTCGATAGTGATTTTTCACCTTTTCATTTTTAACATCTCAAAAGAAGAAGATTAAAGATTAGTGTGAGAACAAATATGTGTATAAATCATTTTCTTCTTATGTCTGATCGTTGTATAAAGCAATCCTTTCACATTGAGTGAACTCCGCACGTGAACCTTTTATCGTAAATTTTCCTTCTGAGAGAGAGCAGCTTCATAGATAACTTTATCTAACAAGGGAGAGCTACATGGAACGAAAATATCAAAATACTGGAGTCCCAAACATTACAAGTAATTTAAAATTTGGGGTTTTTTTTTAACTTTAATCATTCAAAAAGATTGAAATTTAAAATAAACCTGATGTTAATTTACATATTGATTATAATCCATTGATGTGTCATTAATTCAAAATAATTAATGTGCATTTTATTAATGTTTTCATTAAATATTTAAATTTATTAATACACAAATTTTAATTTATTTTTTGTTGACTAAAAAAGAATTTTTTTAATTTATTAATTTTATTTAACATTCTTCAAACTTAAAAGACTCAATTAATGTACCCAAATGTTAGTATCAAAATATGTGTACCAAAATGTATTATATTGAACTAATGTATTTAAATGTTAGTATCGAAATATATGCACCGGAATGTATTATATTAAATTAATGTACTTAAATGTGTGTACCGAAATGTATGCACTGAAATATTAGTACCGAAATGTATTATATTTAATTAATATACCTAAATGTTTGTATCGAAATGTATGTACCGAAATATGTGTACCTAAATATATGCACCGAAATGTATTATAATGAATTTAATGTACCTGAATGAAGAAAACAAAGTACATCGAAATATATTGTATAACAAAAATTAGTTTATCCAAATGTTTACAACAACATATATTACATTAAATGAAGCGAAAATGAAAATGAAAATGAAATAAAATTAATACATTAAAAATTAGGAAGAAAAAGAAAATTAATTAAAAAAGAAAAATATAATTAATAAATGAGGTTATTAATATATGATCAAAATTAGATTTTGATCTTACTCATAGTTTTAATCTAAAAATCATATTTACCAAAGATTAAAATGAAATTTTCTATTAAAAGTTTCACATAATCAAAATCGCATAATTATCCCACCGTGAGCCGTCATTTAACTCTACATATGAAAAGGTACACCAAGTATAGAAAATATCTTTTGGAGCAATTTTGGTGGAGGAATCTATATATAATCGTGTGCTACAAACAAGGCATTCCTCAGCCCTACATAAGTACTATATGATCATGTTCTCAACATTTCCTCCAGATATTTGGACATCGATATCTCAATCGGCTACCAAGCGAGCTGAAGTGCGTATGAGTAAGAACTAAAACTTATGTACTTTGACAGGCTACTTCAGTTCTGATAGATCAATCCTTTTCTGGACCTCCATTGCACCACTTTACGAGAAAATTAATCAAATTAAAGAAGAAAGAAACTTCCGATTACGCGCGTCCTACTTTCATTGTCAGATGTGTACGAGATACAATGGATTTAAAAGAAAGAAACAAGAGTTTGGAACCCTAATTTACTTAAAGTTTAACTCCACATAAAACTGATCGATCGACCAACTAATATTCGTATACGAGAGACTATTTAATGGTAAGTTCTTGCAAGCGTTTGGTATCTTCTTAGTATTTCTTTCTTGCTCAGTGTTCAAAATCAAACAAAGACATATATCAAATGTCCACATTAATAAATGGTCTGAGTTATGACGTTTGCATGCAGAAATAATGCCGTTTTATCATGTAATTAGGTATGACCATGTGCCCTACCGTCCTATTGATTGGCAGCTAGTTGGTACTTATGTATAATCCAAGTTGTGAATAAAATATCTAGGGTACATGAAAACCACCACACGAAACCCTAGCTAATTAGATTGATGTTAATTTCATCCGCGCTCCACATGAAAAATAAAGGGAAACTGCAGGTGTGCATGCCAAATTGCCAACTGCCAAGCCTAATCATGCATGTCCATCCATGTGGTTTCTCATCATATCTACTCCGGGTCTTCTTGAATGATTCCTGACAATACGAGAAGGATTTTTATAATGAGTATTGTGACACCATGCGCTAATCTATTATTAAAGAGCGACCTCAAGCCAACAACATTTCTTTTTTTTTTGTGAAGTTCGGGGGAGGAACGTTATCGTGCACAGTCTTATCTTTAGTTTACTGTAAATAACTTGTTTCCACGATTTGAACCTGTGATCCTTTAATCACAAAAGAGCACCCTTTCTTTTGCACGAAGGCTAACCCTCTAATGATTTCTTTTGTAGAGAGCAACTTAATATCATGTAAGTTGCTCTCCAAAAAGAAACGATTAACCAATGAACAGTGGCGGATCCACAGTGGGGTCGTCGGGGTCGCACGACCCCTTGGAAACCATGGAAACAACCTTGAAGCTCCCATATGCGACCTCTTGGAGCTGGGGTCGTCGGGGTCGGACTCGCACGCCAACTGTTCGACAAAAAGCCTGAACGAAGACTCGGCAGGAAGAGGAAGAAGAAGCAGCGCTCGCGCGCGCTTCTTTTTTTTCAAAACAGACGGGCAAAACCGCGTCGTTTTGGCCCAGGAAATTTTTTTAAATGACCTGGCCAAAACGGCGTCGTTTTGGGCCAGGCCGAACAAACAAAAAAAGAAAGGAAATTCCCACCGTGTCCCCCCCCAGTCCCAGCCTTCCTACCCGACTCCTATACAATCAAAAGCCCCAATTTCTTTTGTTTTTCTCATCCTCCAACCCTAACTCAATCCCCAAACCCTCAACTCCTCTCCTCCCTTGCTGCTGCTGCCCCAAACCCACTCCTCTCCTCCCTTGCTGCTGCTTTTATTGCTTTATATTGTGAGTTTTTTTTGTTTATTGGAGCCTTGTTTTATATTGAATATACTGAATTGAAGATGCCAATTTAATTATTTATTGTTAGTTTATATTGTGAGTTTTTATTATTGTTGATATTTTAATTATTTGATATTGAGTTTTTATTTATATGTTTTTTTTGATATTGATGGTTTTTTATATTGTGATTTTTTATTTTGTTGTATATGTTTATATGTGAGATTTTTATTTTAATTATTTTGGTATTGTGAAATATTTTGAATGGTTGAAGTTCAATTATATTTATTCATTATTGAATATTTTGTGTTATATATATTTGAATTATTTATTGATATTTATGTATTTAATTGAAAAATTTTTTAATTGAAATTCCAATTCATATTTATTTTTGTATATATGAATGGTTGATGTTTATTATGTGAGTATTTATTTTATTATTATTTATGTATGAATGAAGATGAGATATTTAATTTAATGAAATCAATTCATATTTATTTGATTATTTATGTTTGTATATGTATTTATATTGTAAAGTAGAATGTTATTTTTTATTTTGTATATGTAGCATTATTAATGGAACGGTTTTTTAAGAGAAAGTCATCATCGGGTTCGGGTAGTTCGAATAATGTTGATAGTTCAAATACTGTTGGTAGTTTCAAAAACTCCAAGTTCAAGACAAAGTCAGTTAGATGATGTTTTGGGGTAATCTTCAAGCGGATCCTGGATTAAGAACTCGAATAATAGATTATGATGCTAATATGAGAGATGAGGTCCGAAAGATTATATCTACAAAAAGGACCTTGTCAACCTAGAGGTCATAATTTCCCAATAACTAATATGTGTCGGGAATTAATCGACGCTTCATTCCCCAATGGTTTGATAAGTTTGATTGGTTGGAGTATAGTGTATCTAAAGATGCGGCATTTTGTCTCTATTGCTATCTCTTTAAAAAACCAATTTTGAACAAGTGGGTAGTGAAGCTTTCACTGGAGATGGATTTAAGAATTGGAAGAAAGGGAGAGAAAGATTTAAGATGCATGTTGGACCGGTTGGGAGTGTTCATAATAAGGCTAGAGAAGCTGCTACAAATTTGATGAATCAAGCTACACATATTGAAACGGAACGGCAGTGAGCAAACACTCTGACCAAGCTCGTAAGGCTTATCGCACATGCTTTATTGCTTCAATCAAGTGCACTAAGTTTTTTTATTGCGACAAGGTCTTCCTTTTCGTGGCCATGATGAAAGTGCCACTTCAAGCAATAGGGGAAATTACTTAGAGTTATTGCAATTCCTTGCAGATAATAATGATAAAGTTAGAGAAGTTGTGATGGAAAATGCTCCGGGGAATCTCAAATTACTA